TATAAATAGAAGTGTTTCTTCTCCATGCATGAGAGAATGTACGTGCGCATCTCTCTGCTAACCTATTCTTACTTCAAGCCTCTCCTTGCTTAAGTGAAAGATCTTTATTTTCTAGCATTATCTTTTCTTGTATTTGCTAAAGATCTGTGTGTAACCAAAGGTTGTTTAGATAGGTTTTCTTTACCTTATCTTTCCGCAAACAATCTCGTAAAATCTGTATTCATCTTCTCTATCGATATATATTTTAAATTTGAAAACTCTGTGTTTATATTCATCCCCCCCCCCTTCTACAAATTGTGTCTTATCTTGTAGACCCTTTCAGGACCAACAGAAGTGATGAGGGAGCTGAAGTTGAAAATGCTGAGAGGTTGAGTACAAGGGAAGCAGAAAAAGATGGAGAGTGTGAGAGTGGAGCACAAAATCAAGATCAAGCTCCTATCCTAGCCGAAACACATAGCCGGACACCCACATCTGCTATCGACATTCATCCGTTGAATGTTGGTATTGAAGAAGACATAGCTAGCCCAGCTATGCACTTGCACACCCCTCCCGACCACTCAACTGGTTCTCAACAACCTGTTGTTTCATTTCATCATGGGGATATAGCACATACTCTATCTACTTCTCACTTGGAGAATGTAGATATTGAAACAAGTAGGCCGCTACCCCAGCCTACGACTTCGATTATGTGCACCTCGAGTCTTGAGCCTATACACTTAGGTACACAAGAGTCTCGAGCATCTGTTGCTCCCATTGCGGTTCTTAGTGAACTCACCGGAATGACCAGAATGGTGTCTTTTGACCAACCACAAGGACCGGTCAGAAGTCCTACCAGTGCTACCATTTTGCCAACACTGAACGTAGGCACAACAGTTTACTCAACTTTTGTCTCAATTGGTAATCTAAGTGATCCAGGTGTGATCGTACCAGACTTTGTGTCAAGGGAATATTTGGACGGCGCCTTAAAGGTTGTTTAAGACAACATGGAAGCTCAAATCTCAAGTCTCAAACGGTTGTTGAAGGGGAAGGAGCAAGTAGAAGAAGATCAACCATCTGCGCCATCACCACCGCCTGTACCTGAGCCTCCGACGGTACAAGAGCAATCGGTGGACGAACTTAAATCCTTATTTTATGCTAAACTGATGTCATCCCAAAACCCTGATGCGGAAGATGCAGTTTTGGTTGGGCTCCTGAGACAGCAAATTGATGAAAACCCCACAGTTCGAGCCTCAGAGTTTTTGGCCTTTCAGAATATGTTTACTTCTAGCTTCTCCAAAGTTAGTAAGTTAATCACATCAAACACTCAAGTTCTTAAAAGTTCAAGAGACTTGCCGAGCTCAGGCCAGCTCACTGAAACGAAGGCATGACGATTCGGATGATCCTGATCTTCATGAGGGGGAGGGAAAAAGACAAAGGGTGGCTGAGTCGTCTGCTTGCGCTCAAAGTGTTGAAAGAGAGCCATCTACTCATGACGTTAACGTAGAAAGTTCTGTTCCTGAATCTACAAGGGAAAGAACTACTGAGCCTATAATTATGGAAGATGATGAAGTATTGGAGACAAGTCCAACGATCGAGCCAATGGTTGAAAAGCCGGCGGACTCCACCGTAGGAACAAGGTTGCTACTGGACTTATCGGCCAATGTTGGATTTAATGAAGTTTTTGCTAGAGAACCGGGTGGAGAACAGGATTTCGGAGAAGATATTGATAACATTGACGAATCATCTAGGTTATATTTTGACTTTGAAGCTGACATTAATGAAGAAGACCCAATATTCCCATTTCAGGGTGATCGTCAGACATTGCCTGAACCCTCCACTACAGTTGAAGTTGGTGCATTTGATACTCCTAGAGCGACATTTGATCCGACTGAGATATTTTCAAAGAATTATGTGTCGTTTGCAATTCGTGCAAACTTTCCAGGCTATGACAGGGCAAGAATCAGAGAGCCTTATCTGGAAGACATTTATTTTGGCATTTTTCTCCGACATCGCAAAGCTCTCAGAGCAGATAAGATTATTGGTATTCACAAGGAATCCAAAGACTATCGTTTGGAGTATAAACACTTCCTCAAAGCTAAGTGTCTCCCGATAAGCCAAGTTCGGACCAAACATCGAGTTGTGTCTATTAAACAAATTGATGCTCAAAGACTTCTCATAGTTTGGTATTCGGTATTCACAGTGACACGACAAGATGGTAAGGTCTGGGTGTTTAGCGAAGCTGACTTCTCCAACTTGTATTTAGAAGATCTGGAGCATATGTACCATGAAATTCGGAATATGGCGAACATAAAAGAAGAAGTTCTCGTGGGTCTTAATGCAATCAAAAGGTTTATGTGGAGTCACGTCAAAGTTTCTATGGTTATAGATGTCCAAATGGGACTTGAAGATAATCAGATAATCATTAATTTGAAGAGACCTGATCAAGAGCTAGAAGACATTGAAGCTTATCCGTTTACATGATTCTTGAACAACCGGATTTCAGAGTGATATATGATGCCGAGGGTCGTATAAAGAAGTTCATGAGGTTCAGCGAGCTGAATAAATATTCTGATGGAACTATTCGAATGGTGAGACGGGTGCTGGAAACGAGGAGAGTTAATAATGATAAAGCTACGGAGTCGGAGAGGATGAGTCCAAAGGAGAGGTATTTGCTGATTAATGCCTTGGATTTGCTTGAAGATAAATTGCAATATCAGAATGCACTGAGGAGGCTGGAGAAACTACTCGGACTCAGAAAGACCAGATTTACAAGAGTTCAAACTTGAATCAAATGGGGAGATTGTTGGGTTCAAGATTGTGCGTTAAAGTGGTATTCAAGTTCTCCCTTTAAAATGCTTTGTAATAGTTAGGCTTTACTAGTTTCCTTAGTATAAATAGTGATTAGCTTCCTAATTGTCATTAGTTCACTTGTTAGTTCAGCAATTTATCAGATTAGAGTTGTAAACATTTCTGTACTTTTCTCTCAAAAAAATCTATTCAAGATTTGGTGAAAATCTCTCTCTACATTCATCTTGTTCTTGATTCTTGAAGATTTGATTCTGATTTGTATGATTTGGGAATTACACCCGTACCCACCGGGGACCAGGGCCGTGGGATATTACTACAAACCAGGGCCGAGGCCGAGGATTACAATCCCGTCTCGTTGACATGCCTAGATTGGCAAATACTTCACCCCTCTCTTGGGATGAGTTTAAGGGATTATTGAGTGAGAGATATTTCTCTCCACTCCAAATAAGGATATTAGAAGGTGAGTTCTTATGTAGGGCCTTTTATAGAGAAATCTCAATTTGTTGAACATCAAGTCATTTTCGAGAAGAGAAAAGGTAGATCGATTTGTTGACGGACTAAATGGGACCTTAGAAGATTGGTGGGGATGTCAAAACCTAAGACCTTCTAAGAGGCGGTTGAACTTGCCACCCTTGCTGAAAAGGGTATTTATGTCCCAGATGTCTCTAATAAGATATTGAAGAAGAAAGCTGTCAATGTTGACGAGTCCAAGAAAGTTTGAGTTTCGGAAGAAAAGATTAGAACTTCGACTGTATGTGCCACTTGCGGAAAATTTCATCACGGTGAATGTAGGTATGCTAAAGGAGTACGTTTTAGTTGTGGGTAACCTGGTCACATGTCAAAGAAATTCAAAACAAGATTAAATTGCTACTTATGTGGGACTGTCGGACATCGCTCCATTGAGTGTCCCAAAAAAGATCTTGTGCAAGCAAAGTTGCTCGATGGACCGAACGACAAGAAACCTGAGGTGCTTAAAACCAAAGGAAGAGTTTTTCAAATGACTGCTAAAGATGCATAGATTGCACTAAGCGTGGTTTCAGGTACAATGTTAATTATCGAATACCTAACCATGAGTTTATTAGTTATGTGTGCCTT